TTTTTAGGAAGAGAGTTACCTGAGCATTCACAGCCTAAGCTTCAAATAATAAGAATATAATCATACTGAATGACGAAAACTTGAATGAATAGGGCAATTCTTTCTGGCAATCCCAAAGGCACTAAAAGGCAGAGATACCACAATACAGGCAACTCTGGGTATGCAGCCAGAAGACAAAAGGAAGAAATTCACTCTACACCCTACAGCCACTACTCTTTTGAGAATTCAAAATCAATTTTGTGACGTGTGAGACATAGTGTGGGCCAAATTCATTATCAGACTCAGGTTTTCTGACCCTAGCCCACCCAACCACGGTCCCCCAGAGACACAGTCCCCTACACTGCCCACTTTGAACTAGTCACACACCTCCAGATAAACTTTTTCCCAGGTGAAAAAAAAAAAGGTTTTCCCAGGTGCCGGGGATTTAGCTCAGGGGCCTCGTGCCTGTCTTGCAAGCCCAAGGTCCTAAATTCGATCCCTAGTACCCTTCCCCCACATAAAAAGTTTGCTTTACCATTTCACCTCCCTGCCAGGATAGGCATGCGGTTTCTAAAAGAATGAAATGACAAACTAGACCCCATCAGTCTGAAACCCCACTTTTAAACTCACAAGGCTGTAAGAATGTTCTGAGAATTTGGAAGTCCAAGGTTATGGTGTGCCTCCTGGCTGTGGATAAAATTAGCACTCCTGATAAAAATCGCCACTGCCACCAAGGAAAGCCAACAACCTGTAGGAATTCCAGGCAAAGCCACAGGAAAGGCAGCTGGGGAGTGGAGGTGGGGGGTGGCGTAGGGCTGGAATGTCCACAAATCACACCCTTATGGCCGCCATTGGGTGAGTCCTGTATGAAACTCTTAGAGCAGTCCCTCTATTTGCAGACATCCCTGAACCATGGCCACCTCGGTCCACTGTGAACCGCTTGACAAGGCAGCCAGGATGAGCATTCTGATCCAATCACAGCCTCCACTCCCAAGTGACTTGAGGAAGGAGTCTAGCCTGGAGCTCTGGCATAGGTGGTCCCACCCTAGGAACAGCATGTGACCTCTTGAACACAATGTTCTATCCAGCAAGGGCTGTCACATACTTCCCCCTACACAGATACAAATGACAGGGAAAAAAACACACACACACATTCTGAAGGACCGCTCTGCACACACGCACTTCTCCACAGCAGTGACTCAAACGCTCCCTCCCCGATCTTAATGCCACACTCTCGCCTCTCCTCCCAGAGAACCCGACTCCCAAACCTCCAGTACTATCTGGTCTCACCTCCTCCAGCCCCTACTCGCGCCTCACGCAGCCACCTACTATCGCCAGCGCGGGGAGGGCCTAGGCAGCGCACCTCCTCAGTGGCGCGCACCAGAGG